ATCTCTGAAATTTTTTTCCTCATTTATCACCCTAATAAACATCCGTGGGAGACGCTCACAGGGTCATGTCCAGCGGGTAGAAGATTTAAAAAAAGATTATTTCCAGGGTTACTAAATCTGACAGGAAAATGTGTGATTGTTTCTTCTGACTGCTCCTTATCTTTGGGGAAAACACAGCAGTGTCCAAAGTGCGGGGTATAAAGCAAGCACTATTTTTGTTTCCAGTGACAGTGGGTTGACCTCCAAATACTATTCGACAAAGACTGAATTTATGAGAGTAGTAAGATCAGTAAGAGCAGGGAAAAATAACTGCCTTATGAGCAATCTTTCTAACAAATGGTGCACTCAACTGTTTTCAGATTCTGACGAGTTCTACAAGCTGCCTCTCACTATGGAAGACCTGATTTCTTACAGCTTTCAGGTGGCCAGAGGCATGGAGTTCTTGTCCTCCAGAAAGGTTGGTTTTATGCTTGAGTTTTTTCACCGCAGAAGAGTCAGATTCGGAGGTGAAGTGATGTCTACGTTTTAGTGACACCTTCCTTGGTAGAGGTCCCAAAGGAAGAGCAGCTTTCCTCTTGGTGTTCTAAATATAATGGTGTGTTTATCCAAGTCTTCATACTCCATAAACACAGGATTACAGTGGAAGGCAATGGGTCAAGCTAATTCATTCAGATAAGTTCTTTTTGGTGGGTTTTTTTTTTTGTAGTTTCAACATGTATTAGCTATGGATCCCCAAACGAACTGGTGCTTTCCTTGGAAACACCAAGGGGCTTAAAGATTTATGACTTTCTGAACTGGAGAAATACTTTTTGTAAAGAACTGCCACTGTTTACAGTAACTTCATGTAAACTATAGTCAACTTCCCTAAAAAAATATTAAATTGATTTCTCTAATAATAATAATAATTCGAAAAAGGATAGGGGAGACAGTCAGGAAATTTGTGGGCAGGATTAAGGAAATGCAGTTTGATTGTGAAACTATTTTATTATAGTGTATTCATCGTGACCTGGCAGCCAGAAACATCCTTTTATCTGAGAACAATGTAGTGAAGATCTGTGATTTTGGCCTCGCAAGAGATATTTATAAGAATCCTGATTATGTGAGAAAAGGAGACGTAAGTCAAGATGCTGTTTATTTATCCAGTTGTTTACAACATATCATTTCAAGCTGTCCACCAAAATGTTCTGTAGACTTTTACATTTCCTGAACTTAAAAGAGTTTGAAAGCCATCACAGTTTCTGTGTAAGGACGAGCAATTCAGATGCCTTGTGCATCCAGCAAACATTTCTGTCCTCAAACATAAGGCCTGGAAATGCTAACCGTTTCACAGTTCTAGCCTTTTAATACTTTAGCTATTTTTTAGATATTAATTTCTTAGCTGGCTCTGCAATATAATACCCTTACTAAGCAAACTGCCTTCATGGAAACCAGTCCCTGCAGAAGAAGGTGTGTGTCCCTCCATCCACCCGCACCATGAGCTGAGCGGCTCATGCTGCCTCAGAACAGCTGAGCAAAACTTGCTTCCTCGGGAACCTTTTTGACCTTCTCACTTTCCCAGTAAATAGCAGGCAATAAGTCCACAGGCCTGCAATGAACTCCGGGTCAGTAACCTGTGCCTGCGCCCGTGGATGTCCAGGGAATTTGGTGGGGGAATGAGAATTCATGCAGAGATTCTGCTTCTGGATGTCTCGCTCACCTGCCACCTACTCCCTCATCTGTAAATAGCTTTAAAGCCTTACAGCACTACATAATAGCTGTGCAGCATTATTCATATGACTTGGGTAATGCTCAGGAGACACTAATAAGCTGCGCTATGGGGACGGCATACATTGCTGACACAGTCCTGGAAGAGAGGGCCTGCAATTTTACCCAAGAACATCTCTGGTACTATGACAAAATGATTTACACTTGGGGTATGATTTTCTCCCCTGTCCCTAGGATGCAGGCAAGAGACAACTGTTCTGATATGTCCCTGCAACACTGCAAAAAAAGGCCTAGTCACTCTTCTCATGGGTTTCCAGTTTATGGTTCTTTGTGTCACGTATATTTTTTAAAATATATTTAGGAAGGGGAAAACAACCTTTTATTCCAAAAATTTGTTAAGACAGTGTCTGAATGAGTATGTGTTTATTGTCTGCAAAGAAATCCCACAGGTTCCTTCTTGAATAGTAATTATTTATATAACAATATATAATTGATTCAGCTGTGATTAAATTCTTTTCGTCTTTGAAAATAATAGCAAGGTTTGTCCCTTTCATTTCAGGCTCGACTTCCTCTCAAGTGGATGGCTCCAGAATCCATATTTGATAAAATCTACAATACAAAAAGTGATGTGTGGTCGTATGGAGTATTGCTGTGGGAGATATTTTCCTTAGGTACGTTAAATCTGTATCCTGGGAGCTGAGAGCAGTGGACAGGGTTGTAGTAAGGGCTTGACCTGATGATCTTTTCAGTCTATGGAAAAACATCCATTAACTTTAAAGAGCTTTTGCCGTGTCTTTAATAAGGAACTAACTAAATCAGGCATTGGTAGGGTGTGGGGATAGAGGGGAGCATCATTTGTATCACATCACTGGGAACTGAAAGGGGCTTGTAAGAGCACCGGTAAGACGGAGAACAGCCTGGCCAAGCTCAAAGCCTTCGTGGACAGCAAAATTATCTGAGCATTTTTCCACCTGTTTCTTTCATGGCCAAAACTTAAATTTCCATCTTTCTCCTGAAGAAACCCTTGGTGTGGATACACCTAGGCAGCCCGGCCTGAGTGGTCTTGGCTCTCTCTTTGACAGATAGAGTGCAGAGTTATGGTATCAGAGCTATGGTATGGTTGACAGGAAAATAAAGCAAATTTTTAAAGTCTTATAGTGTAACATGGAGCCTGTGGGCCTTATTCAGCCTGCCGTGTGCCATCCAAGGTAAACCTAGGGATCTCCTCGGGTACAACAGGGCCAGCATTCGTGGTGCCAGGGCTGTGCACTCAGTACCCGCTCCCCGGAGAGAAGTAGGGCGGGTTTCAGACCTCTTAAGTGGGATCCCCAATTCCGGCGTATTTGACTTTTCTGCAGTTGTGACCAGCAGCCAGGGACAACTGTCACACAGTGCTTGCTGGAATGAAGGCAGCGCGCTCGGCTGCCTGAGTATAGCATTGAATATGCAGGAAACAAGAGCTGACCCTAAATATAAAGCTCAGAGTCCACCCTCTCCGCCTGGCGTCACAAAGTGGATGCTTTTTTCCCTCAAAAGCTTCTCCATTTCTCTGTGGGAGCAAGTAAGCGCCCAGCTGGGAACACAAGGAGGTCTTTGAACATCTCTGAATGTGTTAAAGGCATCTGAGACGTGTGACAGCAGACACCCTCCGTTTCCACTCCGAAAATCAGCCGGCGAGTGCCCCGGTGCCAGCCCTGCGCCGCGCACAGCTGCTTCCCTCACACACGAGCCGCTGGAAACAGCAGGCAAACAAACAGCAAAACAGATGCCTTGGGGTGAACTAGAGCATGGAATCTGAAATTAAAACCCCGAGCACAGCTTTTGTTTTTTTTTCCTTCGTTTTTGTACATTTGAGATGCAGGATACAAAACGTACACTGAAAGGGAACAACAATGACCGTCATAATAGAAGAATCTTAATTGGGTTCAGCACAGAGGCTGACAAAAGAGGAGAACAGTAGAGGAAACAATACTATACAATTCCTGGGACAATCAATCATTTATTAGTTTAAATGCATGTTGCTGGTCAGGCTGCCAACTCTTGTGATTTTTATGGTGAGCCTCACAATATCTGCTATTTTTTTCTTAAAGCTCCAGCTGCTGGAACGTGGTGATTGACTCTCAGAGAGTTTTTTGTTGTTGTTGTTCTTTCCTTTTCTCTTTTCCTTATGCTTTCTTATCAGTGGAAAAAAGACCAGCAGCATAATCAGGCTACTGATCTTAAAACCACAGAAGCCAGAGAAATAATGCAAATGCACCATGATTTGATTTTAAAGCATTATTTTATTATTTTCAAGCTGGTTTTGAGTGTTTGGGATTTGTTAATACCGTGCTTACTAGAAATCAGGATTGTCCCAAGTATGAAGAGATCAGACTTGGCTTTTGTTTAAGTACTCTTTTTGAGTCAAATTCATTTTTATTTTTTACATTCAGGCCAGGTAAATGCCACTGATAGTCCTAAGCTCGATCCTGCCAGTCTGCAAGGACCAGGACCTGGCCTGACTTCAGCCGCAGTTCCCCTGTGGCGCCCGGCAGGGTCAGACCCTTGCGGAGGTTTCCAGCCTCTGGATGCAGACGCGACAAATCCTGGGTGTCGCAGGGGTGGGGGAATCCGTAGCACCTGGGTTAGGTTTCATGATTATCTGTCTCAGGTACCCAGCCAGGCTGCCTTTACAGTCAGTGCTGAGAAAAGGGATCTCCAGAAAGCATTTCATCTGACTCCCAGACGGACGTCTGGCATAGGTGAGGTGAATCACCCCCTGGAAGTCCCTGTTTTTCCCCGCAGATTGCGTGGGGAGCGTAGCTTGTCTCGCACGGACCGTAGGAACTCGAACAGTGTCTTACCTGGCTAATGCTGGGGGAGCTGACGCAACACCAGCCTCGTGTGCAGGGATGGGTCCCCTCCTGACTCAGGAACCTGTTTTCACTGTTATCCCTAGGTGCCTCTCCTTACCCTGGAGTCCAAATAGATGAGGATTTCTGCAGCAGACTAAAAGAAGGCACAAGAATGCGGGCCCCAGAGCAAGCGACAGAAGAAATGTAAGATGCCTTTCCCTGCTTGCTTGTGGCGTACCCCTCCCCTCCCAGGCTGCCTTGCAGGGTGGATGATGTACGAGTCTCTGCCAGAAATCTTCTGCACAAACATAAGAAAAAATAACCCAACGCTGCCTCATATCTTCTTGCCATCATTAGCACCTTCTTGACATCCCTCCACCTTTAGCCCCCAGCCTTCTCTCCAGCTAAAAGGCTGTGAAGAAGGCGCTGAGCCAGGCAGCGCTCTTGGCTGGAGGACACGGCCCCAAGCCCAGGGCACCACCTTTCCTGAGCAGGCTAATAGTTCTGTAGCCCAAGCCAGACCAAACGCATGCTACGGAGGCTTTGCGTAGGGTTTGACGAGGGAGTGTGGTCACAAGGAAAGGCCAGGCGCTGGAGCAATGCAAGGTCAATGTCGCCTAAGCTCATCACCCTTCGTGGCCAAGACCATTTTTCAGTTTTAAGGTATGGAGAAGCCTGTTCTTAGATAGCTTAGGGGAGGGCCATTAAAGTCACAGCTGAAAGAACAACTCAGAGGAAGAAGGTTATTTGTTCTTGTCCAAGTTTAATATTTATTGATGTGCACACCAGTAAGTGCTGGAGGAATGTGCCATTATTAACGTTTTCTTAACTTAGGAAGTGACAGTGCAGTTGCTTCCTTGCAAATAACGGTGGTGCTGAGGGCCCACCCTTTCCTGGTGACAGCGTCTGATGGCAGAGGAAGGTGACAGGGACCTGCCAGCTCCAAAATCATTTAGTCTAGGCTGTTTCTGCCTGAGGCTTTCAACAGCTACCTTGGCCACGCAGGCAGCAGCCCATTAGGAAAACCAGTAGCTCCTCCCTAAGGGCTCCATGCGGCCTTTGCTCCGAGTTACAAGGCTCTGAGCGCAGAGTTGCACAAATCATTCAGGAGCATGGAAATGTCATGTGCATTTTACCTCTTCAGGCAAAATTAAAAACAGGTAGGTGTCTATGGTGCCGTTTTGAGCGCTACATCATGACTCTAAATAGTAACACTTCCCAAAAATAACATTCTAGAAGAAGAAAAAGGATGCAAGCCAGCCATATCATATCTGGGAGTGTTACCCATTGGCTAATTTTATTATCCTAGTGACAGTTGATAACAGCTTTTTTTTTCTCTTCCACATATTTTATTGCAGGAAGGAAAGCTAGACTCAACCAATACAAGGAAGTGACACATTCATATAAGTCATCTTAGGATGCCTTAACTTAAACATTGCCGGTTAATAGATGCTTAATACAAAGGTTTAGCATTTAATTAGGAATAAAAAAAAGAAAGTATGACTAATTGGCTAAATTATTCTTCTGAAGTGGGCTTCCTGGTGTCCTGTGGAAAGCAATTTTTTTTCTTTTTTGTTGAAAACATACTCTTTTACTTTTAGTAAGAGGCCTCGGTAGTGCTGGAGAGCATCTTTGTAAAATCACACAGGCTCAGGATTTAACTGTATTGCTGATACGCTGTCAGACACTGCATTGCCCTGGAGCTTTAAGACCCACAATGTGCTCATTTTGCTTTTGTCATCATAGCTATCAAATCATGCTGGACTGTTGGCGAAGCAATCCCAACGACAGACCGAGGTTCTCTGAACTGGTGAAAAAGCTGGGTGATCTTCTTCAAGCAAACGTGCAACAGGTACTATTACAGTACTAACTATGTGTGATGACCTTGGTAAGGGCTGCAGGGTGCACTTTCTCAGGAATAACAGTTTCATTTTTAATATGCATTTAGGAAGGCAAAGACTACATACCCCTGAATACTATATTTACAACTGAAAGCGTGTTTCCGTCTGCACCCATTTCTTTGTGCAATGAAAACGTATCTGTTACAAGCTCAAACTGTGGAAGCACTGAAAACATCAGGTAAGATAAGGACAGGGTTGGTTTGTTCCTTCCTTATTGCAGCTTGTTGCATTGCCTGGTTCAGGCTTGGGTATAAGAAAACAGCCGGAAACACCCGACACAGCCTGAATTTTCCAACATCTCCAGTGTCTGATTTGAAATGTCATCTTTTTTTTATGAGAGAATGACTAGAAATCACTTTTCGCATTCAATTTCAAAGTGGCATCTGATTCTTCATTCTCCCCCCACCCCGTAAATCTACTTTGCATCATCTAACAGAGGTGTTGATATCACCTTTGCCGTCAGCAACAGCTTCTCAGTTCAAAATCCTCACCTGCAGTTTACTCTGGGGTGTGCAACATTTTCTGGGCTGGGTAACGTCTCGGTATTCTTCATTAGCAGGCGTTCAAGTGGAGCCACAGAGCGGCTCCTCGGTCCCTGAACCCCATCCGGGCGGGTTGGGGCGCTAGGAAGAGGGGTTGAGAGAGGCCGTGAGAGGCTGGTGAAAGAGGTTTGGGTAGAGTCTGGGGTAACAATTCCATTTGTATAAACTACTTTGGTGATCAGTTAAGCAAATACTTTAAGAAACACAGGAATAACCAATGCTTTTCGCTTACACACTTCACACTCTCACCAGGAATTTTTCTCCCTTTTCTGTTGAATAGATACATAAACACTTTCAAAATAAAACCACCTCAGCGCATAAAAACATTTGAAGAACTTCCCATCAAGGAAACGTTTGTGTTTGACGTAAGTGATTCTTAGGCCAAATAATATATAATTTATTTATTTTTATTTACAATGACAGCTATATACAAAGGAAATCAAGACAGGGGTTTGCTGCTTTGCCAGCTCTGCTGAAATGAGGTACAAGATCAGCTGTGCTTGCAGTATCGTGTTATCCCACTGGCCTTCAAATGGGGGACAGTGGGTCTTTCATTGTCTGTGCCATGGGCCACAAACACTCCTCCCTTGCTAAGAAACGGCCAGTGTCAATAGCCCCACAAGAGATGGCTGCCAGAGTCCCAGCTGGGTCCCAGTGCCGTGGAAGAGACACTTAAAATCTCTTGGATATGTGCTTCCATCTGAATATGAGTGCAAAAATGAGACCTGTGGGTCTCGTTCCATCCTAGGTCCTTTCTATGTGCATGCCCTGCTAGCAGGCGGATGAGCTGGGGAAACATCAGTCGACAGGGCACACGTATTGTCTTGGGTGGAGGTGGGCAAGGGTCAGCCGTTGGAGGAAGCTTTTAGTAATCCAGACAACAGTTATAAGCATTAAATGGTGGGGGCAAAGGAAAAGCATGCTGGTTCACTGAAGGCTGGCTAGTGTCTGGCCAGAGCTTCACCTATGACGCTCTGCACCTGCATTAATGCCAGTTGTTCGCTGCATCCCAAAACAGGGACCATTTGGAAAAGCAACATTAAATTCCTGGGCATTGTGGCACTTAAAGCAGCACATAATCTCTGGGTCTTGCAGATCTCTGAGCAAAAATGACAAAAACGATGTCGCAAATCTGACCAGATGGGAATTGACTTTATTGTAAAAGTAACTTTCCACAGTTAACGTGTAACAGTTAACATGTTGAGTCTGTCTTTTTTTTTTTTCTTCAAGGATTACCAAGCAGACAGTGGGATGGTGCTAGCTTCAGAAGAACTGAAACGCTTCACATGGACAGACAGCAAACAGCGACGGACGCTCTTTGGGTCTGTACTTTATGTGCTTTTCTCCTCCTGCACGTTAGAGGGCAAAGGAGGATTCAAGGTCCTTGTACTAAATCAGGCCTAACAGAAGTAGCTGAGGTGCCCCAGTCTTAGCAAATGCTTTTGCTGATGTGCGTTCTGCTTAGTCGAGCAGAACCTCGACTTCATTCAGAACCTTCATTCAACCTGCCCTCGCAGCTAAACCTCCATACACTTTACACACAAAAAAAAAAAAAGAAATAACCCTCAAACCCATCAATGAACATCACCGACATGATTTGTTATCACTCTTTAGCAATCTACCTGATCATGAACTTACTGCCAGGCTGGGCAGGTGACCGTCAGAGAGCACTAATCCAAGGCACTTGTGCAGAACTGTAGGAAACAAGTCCTTGGCGAGGGGGTGGAGGAACGTGTGGCTAAGAAGGATTTGCAGTTCTTTCTGTGCGTCCCCAAGGGCATCCCAGCTGGGATGAAGCTCCCAGGGCTTGTTTTTGCCCTTCTTTTCCATGACTCAGCTAAGCATAGCCCATTTAAGACCTATGGGCTCAGGATGCTAAAGTGGCAACTTTACAATAGATGGATGTGAGGGCCTCATTTCTCTTCCTGCCTTTAAGCACTTAGTATATTAGGCACCTTCCTCCACCTAATTCCTGACAGCTGCCCAAGCAGGGAACTGGGCTACTCTAAGGAATGCATTGCACTGACATGAACTCTCCGTAAATGGGAAATGTTTATTTTCTCAGTGCCGACAGTGTCTCAGTTCCCGGGCCATTATGAAACTGGCAGTGTCCGTGGCTGCTTTCGGCTCTCTCAGCCAGCTCAGGGATTGCCCAGACCCAGCAGCTCTTTCATCTTATGCTGGCATTAGGTCAAGGCCATCCTGCCATTCTGACCGTATTGAACCTGGTAGCGACCCGGAGCTGCGCAGGCTAGGAGGTGTGGTATTGTCGTGAACAATTGAAGCTGGCTGAAATGTGCAGTCAAGGTGGAGAAGGCTGGCTTTAAGAAAAATTCCAGTGACTAAGTAAAACAGCATTGGTTAAGTGCACAGATATACAGGTGTGAGAGCATGCACACAGGCTCACTCGCACGGCCAAAATACATGGCAATATAGGGTAAACGTGCTACTGGCAAGAGTATGCAATGAAAGCACTGCCTGTGCATGGCAAAGCCAAGGTTATGCAAGTCACTCCAAACAAGTGCTAGTAAAATCTTTTTCCTGCTTTGACCACTCACATTTCAGAAAAGAGGCCTGTAAGTGTTTTTATGGCACTCCAATTTCATTGAGGGAGTTTCTCATAGTCTATTTTGAGAAGCCAGGTATTACAGTACTTGGAATGCGCGTGGACTTTACAGGGCTCCAGAGGACACAATGCTTCCTAAAAGTGGTTTAACACATCTTTTCTCTGTGTAATTGTGACATGTCTGAAGGCTGCGGTCAGCAGCAGAGTAATCTCCCCAAATGAAATTATAAAATGCCTCTTTCTTTGCGTGGCACAGAACACATGGTGCGTGCCCTCAGCAGCTCTCTGACATTGCTTTGAGGAGTATTTTCAGCTGTATAAGGAAAAGGAATGCTTAAATGGGAAAAAAGAAATCTGAACCCAACTGTAGCTGCTAGAATGTAAATCCTTGAGGAAACAGAGCAGTTCGCTGAGCACACAGAAGGTCATCTGCCCTGGAAGATAAATTAGTGGTACTGCAGCGCTAAGCCAAAAAGCATTCGTGTCTGCCATTGGTGACCTATTAGTGTAAATACACTCTTAAAATAAAAGTGTAGCTTCCTAGCTAAGCATCCTTTGCTTAGGCTGAATTGGAGCAGTAAATAAATACCCCTGAAAGTAGTAATATATGAAAACTACATTTGTCCACTTCCCAGACAGTGGGCAAGGTAAAGCTCCGAAGGGAGGCTGACCAATGTAAGCTGATCTAACCAAACGCATGGTCCTGCTTCTTCCCTTGTATCCCACACACCCTTGCTCTGTGGTCCTGCCCCCTCTCTTGTGCTAACGTTTCTCCTCAGCTTGCCCTACAATAAGCTGGTTCCCGTCACTAGACTACCAGAAAAATAAGCCTCAAATAGACTCTCAGCAAACAGTAGTGGCTTGTTGTCAGGGCAGCTGAATGCCTGTGCCGGGATGAGGAAGGGCCCTCACATTTTATCAGCAGTTGCTAGATCACCTTCACTGTAACACCAAACCATGCCCTAAGCACCTACTTTCGTGCTCACTGTAAACCTCAACATCCTCCTTTAGGATGCAGACGCAGACAAACACACTCGCACCAGGGAGTGCTTCCTGAGCCCAGGCTAAGTGGCGCAGAGTGACTGTGTCCACGTTGCTCCTGGCTTGCCTCCTCTGGAGGAGCCTGGTTTGGTGCACAGTACAGCAGCACTGAGCCCTGGATCTCTTTGGGCAGCCGTGTTTCTCTGCTACCCAAGACGAAAAGAGTGGGGCCTGTGTATTTTTCTCAGTTCAAAGTTTCTGAAATAACATGCAGATCAGCCAGGAAAGATGATGCATTAATAACAGAACAAAGGTGTGTGCATGCCCTGGAGCAGGGCGTTAGAGGGATGACACCTGAGATGGCAAAGTCTGACGGGACAGTGCTGAAAGACTGTGTAGGGCGAAAGGAGCCAAACCTGATACATCTTACCTGTACTGCTTTGTGGGAGCAGTCACTGCAGTGAACTTGTGCCAGAACTGCTCCCAGAGTTGGTGTCAGAGGAAACTAATCAGTTCACTCCAGGAGAAAGCCAGCGCATGCACTAATATTCACCCAGTGTGAACAACTAGGGCACCATCAAGATGAAAACAAGTGATACTCTCAATGCCATAAAGAGAGGTAAGCCTCTCCTAACATAAGGTCTCAAGTAACAAGATTCCAGTAGGGAAGTTGTCAGAGGGAAAGGCAACAGTCTTTTGAGATCTGCTCCCTTGCAGATAGAAAGGATCCCAACCGCATCTCTTCTCCAGTACTGGTGAAAAAGCCTAAGCAGAGTAAGCCAAAATCCTTTGGCTGGAGCAAACCCTTGAATCTAAGCAAATTGCTACATCAGTGAATTTGCTGAGAACTCCACCATTTTTGAGCTGGAACAAAAATCGTGAGAGCCATAGCCAACTTCTAATCTCACTGAGCTCTTGAATGCAGACTATTTGCCAGGAATGAAGCAGCCATTTCCTCCAGCAAGCAATCCCAATTAAAAAGCAGCCAGATCCAGTTTCTAATTTACATTCACCAAGTAGAAAGTAGACAGTCCACAGCTAGAGAAGCCTTTACTGACCGTAAGCTCGATCTCCAAATGAAGTCTTTCAGTGCTAAGCCTTACAGACTCCCTGAAAGCTCTCCTTAGGAACGTATGCCAAGGTACACCAGTGCACCTGAAGGTCCAGCTTTATTTGTATAAAGTTTTATTAATTAGTCTAAGTAGAAACCAAGTCTGGCTTAGAGGCTTTATTCCAGCTCTGTAACATAACATTGCTTCAGACTTTTCAGCCAGTATTGAAATATGATGTATTTGTTTCTTAAGGCATTGATCTTTCTAAACATGCTAGGCCTAAACTTCAATTACAAAATAGGGTCTGTGACTGCAAAAAACTATAGATTATCAGGATGCAAGAGACAGACAAGGAATAAAAGGATCAAAGAGAATGATGATGTTAAGGATCATAACTTCAATGGTCTAGCTGATGCTTTTTGAGTGCTTAAAGTTCACAATAATGGCAATTAGGCAGATGACAGGAAAGGTTTCCCATGCACACTCCACTTCTGCCAGCCCACTGCTCTCTAAGACTTAATAGGCAATTACAATGTAAATCACAGAAGCGTTTCTCTTTAAATCCATTAAATCCTTTAAATCCATTTCTCTTTAAAACTCTATCTACGGACAAGAGTATGGGTGGTCATCTTGGGAGCACCCTCTAATTACCTATAGATGTCACAGATAGGACAGGAGACCACACTCCTTACAAAGCACAGAGGCTTGTGAGTTCAACACTTTTAGATTTCACAGCTGTTTGAAATTGTTACTTCTCCATTTCCTAAATGAGAGGCCTTATGCTACTTTACTGGTTCAGTGCTTCATTTGACAATCAAATTGTGCAAATTAAAATAAAAAAAAAATAAAACCCTGGGCTCACTGAAGCCTCAGTAGATAACCCTGTCTTCTCTGAAATTCAAGACTATGACTGACAATATTCCTGACCTTATAAAAGGAAAGTGGCAGAGTGCCCCTTTACTTTATAAAAGCAGTGCAGAGGGAATGTAAATTTAGGCATTGCAGTCCAACATATGATTAAGATTTCATATATAATCAATGATGGCTAGTGCCCTGCCTTGCCCTTTGTCTACAGATAAAGAACTAAGACATCTAAGTTTAATGGTGTGAAAATTCTCTTTGCCTTAATTTTCTTCATCACTGAAAGAGCCTTTTTGAGCACTGCCCTCTCAGAATAAGGGTGAGAAAGTGCTGCAAGGTGAACTATGTCCTAAAGAGTAGCTCAGCTAAGAAGACACTACGGCCCTCTTGTAAAGGGCACCTTGTAAAAAGCCTCCAACAGGATAACTAGTCCTTTGTGGAACAGCAATACTCTTTGATTCAAACCAGCAGCTCATGTCAGCTGCAGAGAACAGTCTAGAAGAGGAGATAGCTGGGTATCCTGTGCCCTTCCTTACCCAAACATCAGTTGCTTATCTTAAAGACTCACCTAAGCTCAGGCTTCAGGTACATCTATGCTGGTAGCTTCCCACTTTTGCCTCAAGGCTTGAGGCCTTTGGTTGCTTCACTCTTCCCACTCAACAACAAGAACAAAAGGTTCCCTTAACAAGAACATTTAAGTGGGGGTGGGGGGGGGGAAGATAGATCATATCAGAATCTGCAGCTCAGCAGCAGCACAGATGCTAGACACTACATGTTATTCTGCTGTGCAGTAAAGTTTCAGTCCCTAGCTCTGCCACAAAAGGCACTTCAGCTGTTGTTCCAGGTCTATCCTGAATTCACACTAACAAAAAATAGAGCTTAGGTGATCAAATATTCCCCATAAGCACCATGATTGTAGTATTTATAGTGAACACAATCACTTTAATACAGATGCTCTGAACAAAAACGCTCTGACTGAGGGGATTTCAGGGGGACATAGCAAGGGTCTTTTGGTCCTCTGTTCTACTCTCCCTCGAGCAGTCCCATCCATATCAATGCTCTTCCCATCATCCGAGAATAAATAAAGCAGCTTCTTGTGATATGGCTTTGCTCGAGTCATTAAACGGATGCCCTTGCGCTTTAAACACACTAACAGTGACATTGCTGTTTTACAGGGTGAAAGGTGCCAGCAGGAGCAAGGATTCGGTGCTTTCTGGAATAACTAAGCCAAGAAGCTTCTGCAGTTTCAGTTGTGACCAACTCAGTGATTCCAAGCAAAGATACACTTACTGCAACACAGTGCTGGAGAAAATGAAAGTATGCCATTCTCCCCCTCCTGACTACAACTCAGTGGTCCTTTATGCTCAGCCACCCATTTAAGTAGGCCAAGATATATGCATCTTATCGGAAAAGGTTTTTCTAAAACACTGCCAATTTAAACATTTTGACCTGAATAATTTTACTTATCCTACAATTAAAAAACTGCCATTGGCTTAACCTCAAATGACCTGCTTTTTCACAAACTGCAAGAAGCATACACAAAATATAGTAAGATACTAATGCTTAGGCCTCAGCTTTCCCAATGCTGACCACCAACAGCTGTCACTAAAATTGCCTGATACTTTTGAAAACTCGAATGGCCATCCATCATTACAGACAAAACAAGCTCAGTGTTTAGTCCTTGGCAGCAGGATAGTATTTAATGCTACAGTCACCCGGCCTCTGTTCAGACTTGTGCAACACTGATCTTCTAGTCAGGAGCACCCTGGAAGATGCACCCCACTGCTTAGACCTATGGGTAAGGCTACCTGTGTACCGCTGAAAAATAAAGGATTGTCTGAAAAGAGGTAGACAAGAAGGGGACCACATTCTACAGTTTTTAGTCAAAACTCTACTTTGAGAAACTTGAGGGAAGGCTAATGCTGTAGGGAATCTGAATTAACTAGCTGGGTATGAGGCATTAGGAAGGGCTTACTCCTTTGGGTAAGAAAAGGGGCAGGGGAGAGTCCTGTGAGGCCAGGATTTCAAGCACAGGTGTCGTAAAACACATTTGGCAAGGATATAAAGGAACTAAGATCAGAGCCAGGGGCTGTAATAACAGGGACTGCAGATCAATTCACTTTGGTCAAGCCTGCTGAAATCAAGTAAACGTTCTTGAAGTTTTGTACTTTTTCAATATGCCAACATACACACACTGGAAACAAATAAACTAGACATGTTAAGCCAAGCTTTGTCCACGAAACCTAGTGGACCTTCTAACATTGCACTGATTATATTTTATTTATGGGAATCTGTCTGAAAGGACAGAATGGCTACTAAACTGCATAAACCTTAAACAAAGGATTGATTATTAGAGAGTTTGAAAGGTTTAGTTAGAAATAAGACAATATATTGGAAAGTCAGGGCAGCTTTTCTATGATTACAGTTGAATTTCCAGGTTAGTTAAGAGTATATATGTACAGGAATAAAAGTGTATCATTTATTTGCAACAGAGTTTTATATAGCATCTCAGAAAGGAAATGTTTTTCATTTGAAAAGTGTAAGGATGCACTATCCCCCTTTACCTTTGAATGCGATAGTAAGACGGCTTTTGGCCAATTAACAGTCGCACTGACGTTTTCTGGATCAACAACTACTACCCAGTCTCAGTTTCTTGGGGTCCGCTCTAAACATATTTATTAAAACACTACTTGCAACATGGTTCTGACCACTCAAAACTCGGTTTAGGGGCTGTGAGTTTAACCCACCACTAGACATAAAAGCAAATGTCCTTTTTGTATTTACAAAGATAAAAACATTCTTGTATACGCAAGAGAAACATGTACTGCTAACTCCTAAGCTACAAAGAATCCATTCTAGATCTTCCTTGCCAAGAGATCATTAATTTTTAACTATAATTTACTGCACTGTCTCTTGCTGGAGAAGTGTATTCTATCTTGACCAAAACAATTGGAAATTAAAAGCAGCGTTTAACTCCAATTCAGCTGAAATAACTGAGGGATAATGCATCTCTAAAAGGAAGTGTTTGCACAGTGTAAATATATAAATATGCTTTTTGTGCATAAATATTTAAGAAAATTAGACTACAAAAGTTACTTTTATATGAACTCCAAGTTTCTTTGGATGTGAATAACTTACTTTTATCTTACATTTTCTCTCCTAATATAATGTATTTGACTGCTAAATTCATATAATAAAGTTTGCTTTTGAAAGAGCGTACACAGATCTGCCAGGCTAATTAACCCAGTAAAGATAACCACAATAGACAATCCAGCTTTGGGCAGCACTAGCATGTACATCTGTCCATCAATCTATCAAATATGCATGGAAGGTACCCTACCCACAGATACAGTGATGGACACTTGCATTGCTCCCTATGTAAGTGAAATACACTAGATTCAGCATACTTCAGAGATACTTACTGCTGTCCAAAGGAGGAGAAAAAAAAAAAAAAACACAACAACACACACCACACACACCACCACACTCTACTGTCCAGGAAAATCGAGGTTTCATGGTGGAGAAAAGGAAATCCGTTGACAAATAGCCATTTAGCTGCCCCTTGGTCACTTCTGCAGCTAGAACATCTGGTATAGATGAAAGGACAACAAAAGAAGCTACAGTATCACCAACTCAAAGCCTGTTCTGAACCAACTGTGACATGAGTTACTGCATCCAGCCTGGTAGGTGTTTCTTCTTCTTCATGGGGATTCTCCGAGTCCCTGCCCCCAAAAGCAGATCCTGGCGAAGCTGCCTCCACTTAGATGTTCAAATGAGTGCTCTTTGGTATATAACATTAGATGATCTGAGTGGATCTCCAAGTCATGCTGCAGATATGACTATGCAAAAGCGCTGGAAGGAAACTGCGAAGAAACTTTCTCCAGAGAAATAGAGCGTTACGGGATTACCTACTGCTGTAGGAGGTTCTGTATCTGTTGCTATACATTGCTAAGAAAGACTGGAGACTAGATGAGTGCACCAAGCAAGCCTGCTGCAACTTCAGTCTCTATATAATGTTTCTAAATCAACAATGTAACTTAAGGGGCAATAACTCCATATGAAATACATGCAAGAAAAATAATCGACAATATCACACATCTTGCACAAAATTTCATGTAACATAAGGATGGTAAGAGTTGGATGGTACAGAAGATTTTACCCCACCTGTAAATCACCTTGCCTTTGGTGATGAACAATACAGAATAAATAATTCTGGGCACTGAAGCTGTCAATCACTCCATATGCAAGTTTTCAGAGACACTAATATACCTTTGGGCAAAAAAGCTCAATAAACATGGCAGTTAGCGTACTTCATTTTAATACAGTTTTCAGAATTAGGACTTGTCTAGTAAAGTAGAACTGATTGACAGAAGCAGTTACTACTTTGAGTTGGGAGTTAAGGAAGTGTGTATTACTATACTTCTAGTGTATAGTATCTATAAATTTTTGGACATCTGATGTGCTGTAAGTGGTAAACATTAAACATGCTTTGTGAATCATGATTGTTTAAGCTCCACACTGGAAACAAAGAGTGAATACCAAAGAAATACGATAGAATGAAATACAATTCCAGCACTAAAGTTGTGATGAGGTCTATCCGATTTCTGTACTTCACATGCTCAGAATAAGACTATGTTGTTTCTGGTATTCTTTATTAAAAATACTGCTGTACACATGAAGAATGAAAACAGGATTAAAGATGAGTAACACATATTGGGATCATGACATTAGAACTTAACATACTGGTGCTTTTTAGGGGAAGCTGTTGACACCTGAATTACTGAAACAAGGGCAAATCAAGAATACATAGGTACCCTCAACAAAATATTTACAATATAGTAAATACAGCAACAGAATTTAAAATAGGTACAAAAATTAAAATGACCAACATCACGTGATTTCAAAGGTTGTCCCTTCTGTGCTTTTAGCTGTAAAAATAGGAAGGTCAGAATTAAATTTCCCATCTGGGAGGGCACATCCTAGTGGTGCTTCTTTTTAAACAGAGATACACAATTCTTCCTATGAATGCATTAAACTACAACTTTAGGACAACCTTCTAAATGGAATTAAAATGGGGTAGAAGAGCTCTCCCCCCAAAAAACACCCAAGCTGAACTTCAGACTGTTCAAATCATTCCCAAAAATGGACCAAATGAAATAAATAGAAAACAAAACTTTTTTTTTTAATGTATTACCTGACACCAAATATTTTCTGGCTGACATTGTTTATGTATGAAAACTTATTAGCTGTCTACCTTTTTATTTTTAAACCAAGTCCTGAGGTTACTAGGGGCTGAAGCAAACTGACATTATGTAAGTACACACACGTTTGCAATTTAGACATGTCTCGCAGAGGGCGATTTGCTGGTCTAAAAAGGATGAGAATTCAAGCCCTATTTTACCCCTGCCTTGCACTTTCACAAAATATTGGTCCACAAATTAAATTTTCAAAGGTCCCCAAACCCCACAACCAAACAGATGATCCCCTTTCATTTTCAAAGAAAACAATACTGGAAAAAAACCTCAGCCCGCTTATAAATTAAGCATTTCATATTTCTTCTAGAATACAAGTACTTCTTTTTTGTACAAAAGAATTACAATATGATTTGTCAAAAAACATATAAAAAGACAGCTGCTCTTCCTCAAATACATGAGCTAATGATAAAAGACTGTTTTGCATGTTCACTTCTCAAAGTTCCTGTTCCTTTTACATTAAAAAGAACATTCTGGCAACTGTTATCGTTTGAATATTAAACATTATGTTCCTTTTAAAATTCATTCAATCAAAAGCAACAATAATCGATTTTAACTCAACAACTGATGCTACCTAATGTGGATTCAACCACATTTTCTAAAATGTGTAAAGCATGTCCCTAGTCTTCAAAGCTTTCGATGTGAAGAGAGTTGCTTTTCTTGATGCAAGTCTCGAGGCGGCGGATCATTTTAAAGCTTATAAAAGTGGACAGAGAAATATTAAAAACTTCTCTGAAAACTACAAATATTGAGAATTATTAAAATTGATGTCAGTAACATCAGTTGCAAGTGCTTAGAGTCTGTCCTGACCTTTTGAGTTTCCACATTTTCTTCATGGTGAGCACCCAGTGCTATTAAAACATTCAGTGCTGGGAAAGGATAGATACAGTCTTCACTACTGCTTTAAGAAAGGAAATTCCTACATATTTGATTTGGCAGTCTTCAGTATCAAAGTGTAGGTGTTTAACTACAAATCCCATGAATACCCAAGTATGGAGACAATTGCATGTCCAAATATTAGAAAGATAATTGAGGAGGAAAATTCCATCCAGACTTTTGAGACTGAATTACTTCATGAATATTCATGTGTTGAGTATTATCAAAAGTAATATTACTTTGGGCTAAGCAGTGACTGCAAAGGCACAGCAGATCATTATCCCTCCAGATTCAGGCTGTAAAACTTGAAAAGCTCTTGATGCCAGACAACTGCTGTGTTTAGTTAATCTTCTTTTAACAGTGTCTTTGTATCTGTATCCAGTGTAGCGTACCATAATAAAGCTGTGGTTCAAAGAACAGAACTTTATACAAAAATTATATTGTAAATAACCTAAAGTAATACACTCCTGAAACTTCAGGCATTTAAACACAATTTCTTTTAAAAAAACTATTAAAAAAATTGCATAAATGTAAATGCTTCTGACTAGCACGAAAACGTACAAACAGTTTTTAAAAGGCGCTGGTTGTGTTTAGAGCAAATTTGATATGCTCCTTAAATTATAGATGCTTCTCATGATGCTATTTTCGTCACTTCGCTTAGACAATGTTTAAATCAAATGAGGGGATTTTTTTTTTCTTTTCCTCTTTTTTTTTTTTTTGACAATTCTCTGATACTTCACTTGATTGGTTTTAAAAAGTTTCATCTTCTGGTTCGTTTCTTTTTTTAAACTAACAGTGGGTGGCATACAGAGCTTGCATACAACACACTTTTACAGAGGTTACAAACTAAACAGTAATTGATAGAACACAATTTCTATTAAATTATTTACCTGGTCCTTTATGCTATTCTGGGTGCAAATAATATCAAAATGAATAAATTTTGCTATATCCTCAGTGACAAAAATGTATCCCAGAAATGTCCTTGCAAAGAGTTTCCCTTAATAAGTATACAATGTGGCAAAACTTCAGAGATCAGAAAAGTCTTAAAAAAATTAAAATTAGTGCATATACAAGTGGAAAAAATAAAAGCAGGAACATCATGCACCTGATGTGTTCCTTAATCTAAAATAAATTCTTCACAGATAAAGCCTCCAATGGCAGCCTTAGCTCTAGGATAAGTGAAACATTCTTCCCTTCAAGTAACAGTGTACCTGACTGAAGTGCAAGCAGCTTTGCTCATCTCCTGTTTGTTTCCCAAATGTGAAATGAGATGACAACAACAATTCAGCTGTAGTGCAATTTGCTATTGGTTAAGTTCCTCAGCAATGTCCTGCATGCTTTCAGCAAATACTACAACTGACCATTTGCGGCTGCAATCAGTTCTTGAAAAGTATTTTCAAAGCAGCGTTTTAAATCGCTGTAAGTTACCACAAGTACACTCTTCTCATCTCTGGAAATGAGGCTTATTTTTTCTGGCACACCAGCATCTAACTGTAACAAGAATGCAAAAGATAAAATAAAAGAAGTGTGAAAGAAATGGCAAAACATTTCCCCAATAACAAAAGCAATCGATTTCTTGGCAAGCACATTGTTTTGGTGCGGCTCAGATCTGCTAACAACACAGAAAGGAAGGATCTGAGCCGCACCAAAACAATGTATTTGCCAAAAAATCGAGACATTTTGGTCTTAACCTGATGGACATTCCAGACCTTTGGATTAGATTACCGTTGTTTTCTTCCCTTTTCATAAAGCTAATAACCCTACAATACTATCTTCCCTGGATAGAGAACCTAGCATAATTTCCATATAGTTCCTGATGTACAAAACATGCTCAACATTACATTTCCATGTGATTTACCATATAATTCACAAGCCTCCTGGGAAGCTGGGTAAATTATTTCTTGCCCATTCTAAAACAAAATAATGAACAGACCAGCCCCAAGTAGCCTGAATAATAATAGAAACCCAAACCTCACAGTTTTGGCAATACTGCAAACAAACCGGTCCCTATGTCTTTGATATGGTACATTTCTTCCCCTGTTTCAAGAAAAACATCACCTAGTTCCAATTCATAAACAAATAGATGATTCAGGGTTAAAAAAAGATTAAAAGTCTGTTCAATATTCATTTTCACGTTTTTTCCTGATTTCTCAAATTCAGTATGAAAGTAATGCAAGAATTGAGCTGCACGATCTTCCAAGTGACTTCCATGCAACTTGCAACACTAATATTTCATTACATTTCCTATAACAAATGACAGAGACATTTTTTGTCTATTTAAAATATATTAAAATATATGAAGGTACTGCTGAATTCCTTTCATTAGAAAGCTTCAGAAACAGGATAGAAAAACAGTGATTTTGGATGCATATGTATATTAGGCATGTAACCTTAATCCTAATTCAGAATTCAGGTATAGATTAGTTTATCTGCTGAGGTCCCTCCCAACACTGTCTTTATGATCTCTTCACTTAGCAAGATGCGTTCATCAACGGGGAATTGTCAGACTCTTACAAAGCAAAATTTTCCTAGCTCTGTTTCAGTTGGTATATTGATATTTGCAAATATTTGACACTACAAACTTTCCTGTCCCATGAGGCAGAGGTAAGTGGGATACAGCATTATTGAGACAAGCTTTGGAAATACTACTCCAGCAGGTTTAAATAAAAGTACTGTCATGCTGTAATGAAGAGCAGGAAAAACAAATAGATTTTACATTGAGCTCTTGCCTGAGCTGCTGTCTGAGGCAATATACCAAGTTAGAAATTTGCATTTTTCTTGTAAAATAACATTCTGAGCAAGCACAACCCTAAAAGCTACAACTTCCCAAATTTAAAGTTTCTGCTTTATGAATAACTTCAGGACAAAAGAATGACAATTAGCTTTTAATTCTTGTAGAGTACGATAGCACTACCAATCTCTTTCAACATCCATTACAAAATGTTATCAAGATGAAGATAGCTTGTGAAATGCTGTCTACTGTCCACATTAGCATCATGCAAGAAAGTAGTGAATTATCTCAATGAAACTGGTAGGTGGAAGACCTGTACTAAGAAAGCCATATATATATATATTCCTCCTCTCCTCCTGGGGGGATCTCTCAGCTGAAAAGATTCCGAAAATGGCACAATTAAGAGAAGGGGGGGAAAAAAATCCCACCTATACTGTATGTATGTGTATGCGAAGTCTAAGTAAACAGGAATGCTCCTGGAGCATAGCAGGAAAGGCCAAATAGCCACTTCTACTAGTACATATCATGATTTCAGATAAGCTTTTAGAGTGTATTTCCAAAGTACAGTTCTGTAAGCCTTACTTTTTTGTGTGATGAGCCCACAACCACAGAAGAGAAGAGCCTCTGTTTAAAAAGGTAAGCCATGAACATTAACAGAACAACAAATTCTTTGACACAGTCTTTTCCCTGACCTATAACTTCAGGAACATTTCTCACTATAGATCTGTAGTGCTCTTTGTTTTCAAATCATGATGGCACTGCACTGGCTTTTTGACTATCAACATGCTTTCTTTTAACTGTCTTCAATTTTTTTTTTCTTTAGTCTTATCAATTTCTTTAATGTCCTTTTTAAAAGGATTGCAGATACCAATTAGCAAGATGAAGAGGAGGTTTAAAAAAATGCACATTTGTGATCTAATAGGAGGTAAAGCTAATTTAGAAGATTTAACTGCAGTTAGTCAGATGAGTCAGATGTTAGTAGTACCAAAGGATCTAAATACATTCAAATTTTTCTGGAAGTTGGTTGCTATCCTAATCCTAGAAAAAACACTAGCCACTACAACTGTATATTGTCAGCATCTGCATCACCATCCTCTATGCAGTGAGTGGAATGATCAAACAGCTATGAAAAAAGGATGAAATAGCAATTTATTCTCCTATGACTTATTGAAATTTGGTAAAATGGTGTCAAGTAAACTGAAAGCTGACCTAATGTGCTTTGTAATTTATGGAGCAAGACAAGAAGTTCCACAACTAATGAAGATCTCACATGACTCCCACTATTAATCATGAGAGCGCTCAGCTGAAATCTTGCTAGTGGTGCAGCTAATGGACAACTGCAAATTGCTTTGTTAAATCAACCTTGTAAAATGAAGGGCTGGAGAGGCTACAGGAGTATCAGAAATGGGCTTCAGCTTGTATGTCACAGAAATTTTCCCCATCATCTAAGACAGTGTTGCATTTTGCACAAAGCAGTATTGCAGCCTTTCTCTTGATGAGCCCTCCTATCTCCTACTCTGGGCAGCACAGTTTAGGAGAGGACCCTCTTGCTTTATAACCATCTTCTGTGATGACTATATCAGCAGAAACCTCCCCCAATTAAAGGGTTTTTATGGACCCTTTATGCTGTGTTGAAAGACCAGAGTAGCATAAAGGGACCAGCATTGCTTATTCACAGTATTCAATGCATTCTAAGATGAACAAGTTAATACTATATGCCATACTACATTACTGAATTCCAACTTTTAATATTAATGTACTACTAAGTTTATTTAAAATATTCATGATTGTTTGCATATTAGCTTAGTGAATACATTGCTTTCATCCAAAATAGGGGAAAAATAATAATCAGTTAAATCAACAGAATTAACCTGCCAATGACAACTTGCTTTGCAGTGGAACATTGTTTTTAAAGAAAGTTAACCGAAACAATTTTTAAAAGCTAACATAAGTACAGTGTACCTTGTTAAGACATGAGATAATGTGACTGAGGTCAATCCAAGGAGTACCCGCTTCTGTCACCTGATGGAAAAGGTGATCTCGAAAGAGCTTTAGCAAATACCTGTCTCCAGTTTCTGACCACGTTGGGTCTTTTTGAAACCTGGTGTAAAGCAAAGGCTCACATTAAACCTCAAAAAACAAAAGAAACAAAGAAAATCTCAAAACCAACATAAATCATACACTGACTGCTCAATCTAACCTAAATGATCGTACCGTTCTGCTAAGCCATCTGTTATAATTTGCAATTAAATTGCCATCTCTCTCTGCCACAAAGATAAAGGTGACATGTTCAAAGTTCCTCAACTTCACGTGAAGCTAATGCCTACCAAAGCCTGAAGAAAAGTAAGGGAAAAAAGTAGGAGTGATCTTTACCAAGTTTACCAGACAAATGTTGGAAACCAGCACTACAAACACAACTGTTCTAATCCAGTTCTATTGAACAGGATGGAAAACAGGCCATGAACACAAAATTGCTATATAGTAGTTGATAAACAACAAACTGATAATTAAGTAGATTAAAACAAGTATCCATGCCATTTGCTATAGTTATAAAAGGCTACTGATTGCCTCAAAAACTGTTTTAATTCACAACAGACCACTAAGAGAACCCATACTGAATAACAGAAGTAAATTTGGCATATCTGTTTGCCTCCTTCTCTTTTCCTTAATTTAATATTTTGGTGAAAGTTGCTTATCTCATTGTCTCAAGGGTTGTTTAGTACTCTTTTCTTCAGGGGTACAGATGGGAAAAACTCTTGATCTCAGATTTACAGTGAAAGAAACCTTGGATTACAAACTGAATCTTACATACTACACTACAAAAACAAGTATTTCTTACTCTGGCCTCTCATTGATTGTTCCCAATTTTGCTAGAAGCCTAAACAACCTTCCATTTTGCACCTCCTAGAAAACAAGAAATAGGTTATTAGTTGAAGTTTCTGAATGAAAGACAAAATTTAGACACTTATGAGGAAAAGCTATACAGCAGTAACGCCACTGAAGTGCAATGAATTACAATGATTTATTCTATGAAGATGATATACATTTTCAGAAAGAGACTGAACGCTTTATACTGTGTATTAGTAGTCAAATACTGATCTTAGCACTTCATATCC